GTCTGGTCGGTCTCGCTGCTCCTTACTCTGCCCATGATGCTGATGGTCACCTTGACCGAGGGGGGCAAGGCGGAGGGCAAGGTGAAGAGGATGTGCGCACCCACCTGGAGCGAGGATGCCTACCGGACCTACCTGACGGTGCTCTTCAGCACCAGCATCATGGCCCCGGGAATCATCATTGGCTTCCTCTACACGCGCCTGGCCAGGACCTACCTGGAGTCCCAGAGGAACCCCCCCCACAAGGAGAAGAGCAAGAGGTCCCCCAGGCAGAAGGTCCTCATCATGATTTTCAGCATCGTGCTGGTCTTCTGGGCCTGCTTCCTGCCGTTTTGGATCTGGCAGCTGGTGCGACTCTACAGCAGCTCCCTGCAGCTCACCACCCAAACCCAAAAGTGCATTAACTACCTGGTGACCTGCCTGACCTACAGCAACAGCTGCATCAACCCCTTCCTCTACACCCTGCTCACCAAAAACTACCGGGAGTACCTGCGCAACAGGCACCGCAACTTCTACAGGTTCACCTCCTCCTTCCGCAAGAGGGGCTCCAACCTGCAGTGCTCCTGGGGACGGTCCGTGTCCTCCAGCAACCAGTACGACTACAGCTCGGAGGCCCTGGGCATGGCCACGCTGAAGGACAAGTGAGGAAGAGGAGGCTCTCCGGAGACACCAGGACCAGCCGAGCGTCTGGCCAAGGTAGGGACCCCTTAGCCCTGCCGGGCCCTACAAACGCCTTTCTGGTGGTCACTCTAGTTTGGGGCAGGAAGTTGCATAAGACCAAGTACTGTGAGAGGTGTTTGAATTTCGGTCTGGCTTCGGGCTGCCAGGGGGGTCCTGCCGGGGCCAGCAGGCAGCCAGGACAACTCCTGCTAGGTTTTGGGTGCGGAAGATGAGCTGGATACTGTGGTCAGTTCTGCCGCAAACTCTTTTCACGCTTTGCCGAGTTTTGCCCAGCTCCAGCTCGGCACCATTTCTCCCGGGTGGTTCCTCACTATTGTCCTCCAGCTACATCTGGGTCAGATCCGCAGATTTCTGAAATTGTATTGGTATTGCTTAATTCCTGCAAGCCTCAGGTTTGCCCCACCTATTAACGTTGTCTGTTTCTAGAGTGTGTAAAGAGACCCTTAAGCCCCTTTTCCTATTTCCTGTTACATTTCAGTGCACTCAGATTAATCAAGTCTAAGGTCTCTATTTTAAAATTCATTGCAGCAGCTCTTCAGACTCCAAGCATTCAAAAACCACAAGGTAAGCTGTCAGAAACCACAGGATTCTGTAAAAAAAACCTTGTAATTTTGTAAGGTTTTCACTTAAGGTGATTTGAGTTTGCTACTGATTTTTTTTTTTTTAAAGTTGGTCCCTGTCTCAATGGTCAAGGGGCTTGAAAAACTGAAAATTTATCTGGGAAAGAAAGAAAAACATCTTATAATCCTATCACTCAAAGACCTGAGGATCTAAGAAAAATGTCTGAATCCTATATCATAAAACTCATCATAAAAGGGACAAATTTATTCATGACATTTCATCAAAAGCATTTTGCCTCGAAGTATTCTTATTTTCTCCCCACTCAGCATCTCATAGTAAACCTTCACCAGAGATAGCAGAGATGTCTGTAAGCACCTAAACAATTGTAAAACCTCAGCTTATAAAATAAATGCTGATCAAAAAGTGGACCAACATCAGGTTTTCCCTCACATGGTCTCTTCACCCAGCTCAGGGGGGTGTATATACCAGAGGAGAGGCTGCCCTACCCAGCTGTTCTCTGAAGAGCTCATGTATGTGGGGATGAAGTTGGAGCCAATATTCCTCTTTCCAGCTCTGGGACAAACTCTGGGGTTAAGTAAAGCACAGTACGAGTTGCATAAACTATTGTCAGCAGCTACTGATGCCCAAGGGACTTCTGAAACAGCAAGCAGTTGCTTAAGGAACAGGCATTTCCACTTTCTTATGGCATACCCCGACCCCCATGCGCCTGCAAGGAGCCCCACTGCAACCCTGCAGTGTCACGGGGTTCCCGTGTCCTTGGGTGATCCTCTCGTGTCACACGGCCAAACTAGGGTACGTTTGTGCTAAAGCAGAGACTCGAAGTGCCGACATCGCAGCCAAGGACTGGGAGCCCAGAACACAGCACAGCAACACGCTGGGTTTTATGGACTCAACTAAGCAGAAAAATAACCCCTTCAGGGCACATGTTGGATAAATACCAGGGAAGTTCTTGTGCCAGCAGTCAGGCATTCTTCTTATAGATGCAGTTGTTGGAGGGGTTTTCAGGAAGGGGGAAATAAGTAACCTTAGAATTGCCTGTATTGCTCTTCACCACAGGACTGGCTTTGAAACACTGGTGACCACTTTGTCCTGTTCTGCCTAGACGACCCAGCTGGGCAGTTAAATGGACCTAATGGTCCATTTCCATATGAAATAGGGGAACCAACACACTGTTCATGTCGGGAATGGGCAAGGAGAGGAGGCTTCAACAGGTTTTAGGAACAACTTTTCAGGAACTAATTAATTTTTTTAAATATTCATTCTGAAGTCATTGTTACTGTTCCTTTGCTTCCCGTTTCCCGAAGCTGGAAGTCACTCCCATATAAGAATAACACAGATAAGACTAAACTCAAAAGGCAGTTGTGGGAAAGCTGGAGTACCTGCGTCATCTGCGAGGTGTGCTGTGCCGTCCTGCTCTTGGGGAGCGTAACGATGCAGCTGGCGGGCATCCTGGCAGGGCCAAGCATGGCTGCATCCCCTCCAGGCGTTGCACATGCCATTTGCCCATCTCTGAGGAAAAAAAAAAAAAAAATCCTTATGGTTGTAGAAAGAAAAAACCACCCTGATTTGGATCCTGACCTGACACTGTTGGGGCTGAGGAGAAGGTCTGCAGAAGGCCACTTAGCCACCACAGCATTACAAGGATGCTGTAGGATGGCTGTTCACCATCTATGAGAGAGTTGGAAGGCAGAATGTATACTCATTAACAGGTGTATAAGGGGAAGCAGACGATGGAAGAGCTGTGTAGGTGTCAAAGAGAGTATGAGGGAATACACTTTCTGCTTTAAAAAAACCCCCACATTAAAACATCAAAAGCCCAACAGTCTCAAAACAGTTATTTATAAGAAGGGGAAGCTGAAGAGGAGCCATGCCCAGGGAAAAAGGTGTGATAATGCAAAGCAGATGAGATCTACGCTCATAACCTAACCTAGGGATAAGCAAACAGAAGGGTTTGATTTGGGGTACACTTCCCAAGACGTCCCATCAGCCCCCCAAAGGGATTCTGCTGCTCTGCTCAGCGTCACAAACGGTGTGTAGGGAATGTGGTCGCTGTGCCACATCGTCAGAGCATTAAACATCAGAGGGTTGATGGAGAAACATCCAGATGAAATGCAAAATCTTGGATATTTGTCACTCACCAGGTTTTTTAACCATATGTGTTTCAGTCTGGTCCCACCCCAGAGCTGCTCCTCTCTCCCATCAGGCTCTGATAAACCTATACAAGGTTATTCTAATGAGAACCAGTAAATTTGGTAACACCCAAAAAGCGTGGATCGGGGCAGAGGAGAGCCTGTTGGACACACAAAACTGGCCAGCAGTCAGAAGATGCTGCCGTGTGTGACGAATATCGGCTCTTGCGCAGCACGGGAAGCACGACACGGTGCAGACCTTCACCAACACAACTCCTCGGGAGCCTCTCGTACTCCCAGGGATCAGAACTCAATTTAAAAGATGAATTACATAAACAACATCCCTCTTACTGTCCCATCGGACCAGTTAAATTGCCAAAAGTCTGTAGGTTTGACCCACTTCATAAATATCCCGCAAGAGCTGATGTTTTAACTGATTACCTCGTGTCTGTGATTGGGCAAGCCTTGACTCTTCTGGGTGTGCTCATGTTTTGGAAATGAGGAGACAGTCTCCATGTATCTTCCTGTAACAACAAAAACAAATTAATCTGGGAGTTAGCTTTGGAGGGGGATTGCTGCTGCCTGTCCATAGCACAGAGACCCGTCAGGGCTGGCACAGCCTTTAAGTTACACGTACAGGGTAGCTTTTTGCCTGCGGCTGACCCAGAGTATTTTGGGGAGGGTGTTGGTCCAGGTTTGGTAGGATCTCAGTATTCATAAGCACATCTCCCTGCGTGCAGGCCACGCAAAACTGCTGTAAAACAGTCTGGGCTATTTTCTGCGTGAGGGAGAGGTATCACCTGTCTGCAAAACTCAAAGGGGTGAGTCAGGACTCCCAAAATCATGAAATTAAAACCCGCACCTTTTCTCCACAGCCACAGAGGCTGCAGAAGCAGATGAAAACTGAGACAGGCACATCACACTTTGCAAACTCTATGTATCTTGTCACTTACGGTAGATGTGAAGCATCTCAGGCCAGGGCTGAAGTAACAGCAGGAAAGACTCGGGCTGTAACTGAGCAAAATGTGGTGATTTCCTTCAGAATTTTACTTTTTCCAGGAAGGCAAGCAATGTGTACCCTGGGATCGTTTATCACACCCAAATCATTGCCATCCTGTGGCTTTTAATGTGGGGTTTTTTATTATAAATTAAATTTTACAGCAAGTTGAGTGATATAGCTGGTTCTTCAGCAAAATGGGAAATGGTGATTTTAGGGAAAGTAACAGCATTTTTGTATATAGGGCAGAGGTTATCACTACAAAACTCCATACATGCTTTACAAGAAAAACAGTTTAATCACTAGAAAACCTTTTTCAACACCCTTAAAGTTTAAGTTTTTATGACCAAAAAAAAAAAAACCCAAGCAAAACACAAAAGAAAGAAACACTGTGAAAGAAATGCAGGTTCATCCAGGGTGCTCTTTCCTTCCTTCAGCCTAAGGTCGCATCTACGGCAGCAGTGGCAATTTTTCTGCTTTCACTTGAAAGGAGAAAACAATGGTTCTTTGTGGGACAAG